ATGAATCCCCTAGGCAGGAGGGTGAATGCTACTCAATTGACTGTCATTTTTTCATTTTTTCTTCTTCCAAACACTGCATGTACACATTATGCCAAAACCACAGTACCTCCTTGAATCATCATGAAGTCAACTCTGTCTAGTCTTGTAGCCATTTGGGGCATGAACCAACTGTGTGGAAACGTGGTTAAGTCTGAGTTAGTTAAAACTGATGTTAAAATGACTTTTGTGAGTTAATCTACCTTATTCACTACTATTAGAAAATAGCAGAAATAATTTAATATGTGCTGAAAACATAGTTCAGTAGAATCCTGACCTCAACTTGGCCATGAAGAAAGAAACAAAACAGTTCCCTAGAACACGCCCAAGTCTCCACTAGGCCACAGGCAAGCTATTAAACAAAACACAGAAATGATAGAGAAACCTTGTTTGAGTGGGTGTTAGCAGATGTTAGCCAAGCAAATACTTTTAAAATATAAAATAAAAATAAGGAGTCCTCCTGATGTTTTTATGAGACAACTAATACAGATGCAAGAGGGTTCCCAGCCAACGGGAAAGGCAACAACAGGCCTTTAGCATATTTGTTAAAAGAGTACAGTGAGAAGGGCTAGGAGCCAAACATGTGTTTTGCCAAAAACCAGTCTTCATGCTACCATGTACAGATGCTGACTGGGAGACAGGCATCAGGGTAAGACTTTAATGTGTTGTCTTTCATTTAAACCTCAAACAACCCCACTGACTATGTGGTATTATCATTATCTCTTCTACCTTACTGATGAGGATGCTTAGCTTTAAGAAGATTCACATCTAAGCTTAGCATCTTACAGACATTGTAACAATATAAGAAATAAATGTGAAGTCTATCCTTTTATACTACAACATTCTATTTCTTCTGGGTGTATCACCTTGGATTTTTTTCATAGGAAATAATTATGTGCAGATGAAATGAATGCTTCAGTTATTAGACTTCAAATAACTACTTGTTTGTAGAAACATCTGTCTCACTTGGCAAATATTTGGGGTTTAGATATAACTTCATAGTTTGGTCTAGAGAACAAAAACTTCCAGAATTATGAAACTTTGACAATCAAAAAAAGACCACCTACTGAGGGCTCCTGCTGTTTATAATAGACAGACTCCCTGGAAAATTCCATGAGAATGTTCCTCTTCTCATGGTCATAGCTTGGTGATCTAGTCCTAGAGACCATCCTTACTGTACTTACTTCAACTCTTGTTAATATTTTTACAATGATGGAGAAGAAGGGAATTAACTAAGATATTTTTATGAGAAATGAGAGAACTGAGAAATTGGAATACTGAATTTTGTAGATTGAACGTTTCATGTGTCAACTGTGATAAATATTCCTATTAAGACTGCAACACCCATCCATAAAGACTGGCCAAACAAACCTTAACTAAAAGTGACTATTGGGCTTGTTATATAAGTCAATAATGGACTGAAACTAAATGATTGCTCTTCTATATATTTTTGTCAATTTCTCTTTAAATTGGTTATCATCAGAACTGGACAAAGTATTTTAAAGGCACTCAGAGAGCAAAAGTATAAAGGGTATCATTTCTCTCTTATTACTAGGGCATTAGCTTCTATGAGCCCTTTATGAAGTCAAATTTGTATCTACAATAATTGCAGACAGCCCAAGTCCAAATAATATGCAATCATTTCAATATGTGCAACTTTAAGTAATTTCTTTCAAAACCCATTTACATAGTTCTTCACATTTCACTACATTGTCCTCTCAACCTTTAAGGTCTACTCAAAGTCTTTAATTATTAATCAATTTCTTAAAAATTCTTATATTTTCACATCTCTGATGATTGTCATGAGTATTCATATACGCATAGTAGAAGATAGATTCAAGTTTAGAGACTCAGGCTTCCAATGGGACATTCCCATCCTCAGTGCAAAGAGGAGGCCACTTTTGTTCAGATTCCAGTGACACACATGTAGTCAAATGCTTGCTTCAGGTTAATCATTACAAGCCCACTTCATCATCATTCTCCTCCCAGGGAGATGAACTGTTATCCAGACAAATGGGTACCATAGCAGATGGGATGCTTTAAACTCTTGCTAGCTCTTACCTCTCCATTGTGATTTGTATGAAGGAGATAGCATCATGTTCTCCATCTCACTTGGCCATCTCCACTAAGCCCTGCTCAGTGACTAAGCTCTGCTTCTTTCTTTGCACACGAACTCAAATATTTTCCTCTTCCTTCCCTTCTCTTTGATGATTTTCCATGTAGATGAGCGCCCAAACTGAGTCTTCTAACAGCTGACACTTTGCTACCATCTTCAGACCCTACATCTATGGACTTGTATTTTTCCTAGGTTTTTTTTCTTTTCATTGGTTGCTTTTTGTTATACTTTAAATAAATGTTTTGCACTAGCATTCATAGTAATGGCTTTGACGATGATATTTTCATACATATATGCCATTGTGCTTTGTCATTACATAATGAAGTATTTAATTTCTTTCAGGGACTCTAGTTTTCAGTTATTCTGGAACATATTGACAAAGCTGCATAAGATTTTTCAAGGTTTAACTCAATATTTCTCCAAATACTGGTGACCATCCACACCATTGGACTCAGAGACACTAAGAAGAACTGATGCTTCAAGCAGTTTTAATGTGCAAAGAAGATGGAAGGAGCTTCAGGGAGGAACAGACTACAGGAAACACAATTTGGCAACTCTTAGATGCAAGTGGAATCTTGAGGAGTTGCTGAGACAGCTGTTAAAGAACACTCAAATGACATAGACCTGTGTGAAGTAGAGCAAATTAAAGGCAGTGAGGGATAGCAGTGCCTGTGTGTTCTCAGCCTCTCTAGGACAAGGAGCCAATTCCAAATAGTGTCCTTCAAATTAATTACTCTTAAGGAACATGTTTATATGTGCAAATATGCTCACATTGGGGGTTCCTATTTTATGAACCATGAACAGAATAAATTGGGTTATGGGAAACATTGAAGGAACAAAATATTTTAACTGGCTCATTCAAAAAAAGAAAATATGCAAAGAAGCAAATTAGAAGAATTCAATGACCCATTGTAATTTTTAAAATCACTCAGTTTACTCTTCATATGTCAAAAATTTTCAACTGCCTACTATGTATTTGGAATTAAGTTAGATCCTGGGATGTTATCCTAAGCTGGATTTCTCAGTAAATGTGGAATAAATATATGGATAAATGAACATCTAAAGAAATAAAATGTTGGACAAGAACCACGTGAGTACACCAAAGCAAATAATGTTAGAGCACTTCCACAAAAGTCCAGACTTTGTTCCGATAAACCTCTGGAGAACAAAAGCCTTCTATCCAAAGCCCTATGTCTCCCAAGTTTATAGTAAAGCTTTGATGTTGATGCTGTGCTCCATAGCCATCCAGACACTTTATGAAAGCACATAGATGATCCTGAGTCAAGAGTAGCTCCAATTCACAAAACGAAAACGGTGCAAGAAGATTATAGACAAGGTGAGGCAGAGCTCTGAAACTTTGTCTTTTTCGACAAAGTCTTCTACAGAGTATTATTTATTAAGGTTATATGAGTCATTTAAAAACCACTGGAGAATGGAGCGATGTCTCAGAGGATAAAAAACTTGCCATCCAAGATGACAAATCAAGTTTGGCTCTGCAGAACCCATGTAAAAAGCTGCATGGGTGCATCAGCCTATGGACATCTCAGAGCAGGAAGACAGACACAAGGAAGCCACAGAACAAACTGGCTAGCCAGACAAGCCTAAATGGTGAGCTCTGGGTTCAGCAAGAGACTCCGTCTCAACATATAAGGTGGTGAACAGTTGAGAATAACACCTATCATCAACTTTGTGCTTCCACATATACACAGCGGGTACATACGATTCTACACATGTGAACATGTGCAACCCACACACATGTGCATACATTCTAAAAATTTGAGTATCCTATTTTGCAATCTGAAAACCAAAGATATTTGAGAACCTGTAATTAAAATAAGCTACATAGTATTTTTCATAAAGATGGAATAAACAATTTCTTTCTACATTTGCAATTTATAGAAACTATGTGATTCCCCCACAGGACTGATCCAGACCCCTGATCATGGATGTCAATGAGGAGGCCTCTGCACTCCAGGGGGCCTCTGGTAGTGGATTAGTTTTATCCCTGGTGTATGAAGGGACTTTGAGAGACCATTCCACGTGAAGGGATGCACTCTTGGCCTGGACACAACAGGGAAGGCCTAGGCCCAGCCCAATATGATGTGGTAGACTTTGGGGAGCCCCCGTTGAGGGCCCTACCCTGCCTGGGGAGTGGAGGGTGGATGGGGTCGGGGGCAGGTGGGGATTTAGGGGGAGGGTTGGGAGAGAGCGGAGGGAGAAAGGATTGATATGTGAAGCAAGTGTGTTCCAAATTTGAACCAATAAACAAAAATTTTAAAAAAAGAAACTATGTGATCCCTTTTCCTCTATGCTTCCCCACAACCAATTAAAGAAAGAGAGTCGTGAAAGGGCAAATGCTAGTGACTGCTTGTAATCCTACTGTTTGAGAGGTAGAGGCAAACAGATCTCCAGGACTGGTTGGCTAGCTGGCCTTGCCTAATCAACAAGTACCAGGCCAGGTGAGAGACCCTATCTCAAAAATCAGGGCAGTTTAGGCAAATGTCAAAAGTGGATACATAAAAGCCACATTCAATAGGCTTAGCATATGCAAATGTGTTTAACAATGAATAATAATATTCAAGTCAGAAGGGAGTAGGAGGACATGGGAAGAGTTGGAGGTGGGAGAGGGAGGGGGTATATTGATGTGAATAGAAGACTTATATATTAAATTCTCAAAAAAGTCAAAATACTTTAAAAAAACACACAATGTGGATGGCACAGCAGAAATGATACTGGAAGTTGACCTGCGGCCTACATATGTGTGCTGACACATATGTGTGCATCCCTATGCATGCACTCTCACACATGCATGCACACATACAAGAGAAAGCCATGAAGATACTCTTACCGTGCACATGCAGTTGAGTGTGCTGTTGGGCTTCTCCAGCTGCATTGGTAGCCACACATGTGTATCTGCCAGCATCTTCCAAAAGAGTCTTGGCAATCTGTAGAACTCTACCAGAAGACTGTATCTAATTGGGAACAGAAAGCATGGCAGTCTTTTGTTTGGATTGAAAAACATTTGCTGAGATAGAAAAGTTCGTTTAAGTGCACAATGTTTAATTGTAGTTTTATATCTTAGTTAACTCAATATTTGAGAGCCAGATCACTTCATTATGCATTAGAAAATAGGTTAATTTGTTTTAAAAAATGTATTCTTAATGCATTTGAAGACACAAAATAAAATAACTTAAGGCTGGCCTGCTGGTATAGCCATAAAATCCCATTGAATAAAAGACTTTCACACTGGACCATAAAGCATGTGATGAAAATTTAAACTCTTTGGGAAAAAAAAAAACATGACCACATTTATGTAACACTTCATAAATGGTTTTAAGGCAACAATCTTTTTTGATGAAATTGTCATAGGAGCCAGAAAAACTGTAAAATTTATAAAATATGAATAATAGGAATGCCGATAAATTCTTGCTTTCTCCTTATTCCTCTCTCAAACTCATTGCAACCAGGCCTCTGCCACTTTAAAGGTGGTGAATCAGAGGTCATTATTTAACACTGATTATTCCAAAGTCACCAGTCATCCAGTCACATTGTCTAGCAGTCTCTGCAGTTAAGTACATAGTCTCTCTTACCACACACGGAATTGGGTGTCCTGACTTCTTGATGGTCTGTCCTCACAGGACATTAAAGAGAGAATATTCCTCAGCCTTCACTCCCAGGCTCTCCTAGGACATTATGTTACACAACCTGCTTCCTTTTTCTGCTGCACAAACAGGAAACTTAACTCTCTGGAGTTTACATCCAATCCCATGACTTGGGTGAAAAACCCTAAGCACATGCCTGAATTTACAGCATCAGCCCCTGCTGGTCTCCTGAGCTCTACACTCATAGTCCCAGGACAGGTTAACACATGAACTATTCAGAACTAAGTTCGTAAATTACTCCCTCATATTCCTAAAACTGACTTGTCGTTGCTTTTTCCCAGTCTTGCTTAATGGCACCCACGATTTTTCCAGTCATTGGGGTTTTGGCGCCCACTTTGACTTCTATTAATTATACCACAGCCATGTGTCTCAGAGCCCTTGTTTTCCACTTCTACCACCACTGTGGGATTGTGATGGTTTCTTAACTGATGTTCCAGTGTCTCCAACCTCCCCAGTTGTTAATCTATCTTACACACTGTTGCCAGAACAGTTTATTTAAGATGGAAACTTGACCCTTTCCCCAGTCTCCTTTCAAACCTCATTCATGGCTCCCCACTTTGCCCAGGAGGAAATCTGAACTCAGCATAGCCCTCCAGGCTTACCACATTCTGACCCCATATGATCTCTCCATGGTCTCAAGTGAATTCCCAGTTAACCTATTTTCCAGTCAAGCTGCACTAAACATGCTAAGCAACGTATCCATGCATTTATTTCCATCCCTATAATTCTGCACCTGGCTTTTAATGTCACAACTTCTTGACACTCTACACTAGTGTCTTCTCTCATCTTACCATTTTCTTCTTTACTCTTTGAGTTAACTTATTTGTGCCCAAACTTTGAAATATAAACAGTGTGCCAATAGTTCTTGCCATATCATTTTGTTGATCTCCACGGCCATTTGCATTACCCTACTGACATGTTCACCATTTCTACCAGTGTGTCTCCAACTGATGTGAACTCCAGAAGCCTGAAATTAAAATCACAGACTTTCCCAATGCTCTTCTGGAGTGTCCCATATCACTGGTGGTCAGTGTCATCTATGTAATTATGTAATTTAAAGTCTCAAGGGTTTCTCTTACTTTCATAGCCCTCATCTTTAATGAGACCAACTGTCTTTCAATCTACAATGACTTGACTATTGCACCAAAATATCCTCTTTGCTCTAACAAGCATATAGTACCAAATTTCTACCTCTGTCTCCCAGAGAACTGCACATTGGTTCTAACTGTTTTTACATAAATACTCTTGGCCTACCATCTTAATTTTTCAGAAAGGATACAAGTAACTTCAGTCATGTACCATATAGTAGCTATTTAGCCAATGGTGGACGGTATAGATGGTGAGACTTATTCTCTAGTCCAGTTGTACCCCAGGCTATGCCATCTAGGTTTGTGGAAGAGTAGTACAAATTTTATACAATGATGAAAGTGCTGAATTATGAATGCCTCTCTGGCTGAGTATCCTCATTGTAAAGTAGTATATAACTATATTAAAATTACAAACCTGGTCATGCCACTCCTGTCTTCAAACTCTCCCTCCCCCCCAATTGCTTTTGTAAATATAAAATAATTAATATTGTATAAGTGCTTATTACTGCCTCTCCACTTCTGTATTCCACCAACCCCTCTGCCTTTCCTATCTTCCTCAGGCCACTGCCTTGCTTTCATCCCTAAGATGCTCTCCTACACGTTTGCCTGTACACACTCCCAGCAGCACTCATTCTTTTTCCACTTGATCCTTTGTGTTCTTCAGAACTCTGCTCAAAGGCTTTCCTTAGATATTCTCCACCTCTCTATAAACCCTCATTAGTATACTCACTAAATTTTAAATTATGTTTGTGTGACCAACTCATAAATCTCTCTTTCAAAGGTAAGCAATCCTTTATCTGCCCTGTATTTGAGGTTGGGTTACTGAGTTTTTCTTTCATACAGAGGTGTGAAGTCAGTTATACCAGACGTGGAGTAGAATTGATACCAAAGAGATATCTGTATCATTTCTATTAGGGAAAGGAGTCAAGACGTATCTGATATTGAAAACTTATAAGTGAAAGTCAAGATATCATTTAATTAACTTGATCCTACTAGAAAACTACATTAATTATGTATTTTCTTAATGGTACCGGAGATTGAAACCAAGGCCTTGTGCATGCTATGCAATCACCTTCACGAAGGTGCATCTCTAGCCCTTTCTGTATGCTGCTATTTTGATACAGGAATTCAGTAACTTGCTTAGATTAGGCTCAGACTTGCTGTGTAGCCATGGTAGGCCTTAACTACAACCCGCCTGCCTCAACTTCCCAAATAGCTGAGTACACTAGCCTGTACCACCAAGTTTGGCTGTTTATGATTTTTAAGTGCATCAGATAGGTTATCTGAGTTAGAAATCTGTCATCTATTCATCTGTTTACCTAGTTTCTAATTCTTTAAATATTCACTAAAACATAATTAAATGCCAGATGGCACAGTCAGCATATGAGACAGAAACAATTGTTTGTCATTCATAAGATATCAATTTTTGAAGGCATAAATCAAAACAGCAACTCCAATACTAAAAGCTATATCAGCAGGGTTTTTAAAAATCCCATTAAGAAATGAAGGAAGACATATTTTAACAAAATCTCTGCCAAATCCATTCTATGGGAAAATCTATAGTTAAGAAATAATGAGACAAAAGAATTAGCAAGGCCTACATGGCTGTCTTCATTTGAACTCAGTGTCTTATACTCACTCTGAGGTTTCCTTGGGCAGTGTTCACTGGCTGTTCATCCTTCAGCCATGTAATGGACGGGTTTGGAATGCCATTGGCTATGCATTGCAAGGTGACTGGCTTGTTTCTCACCACAGTCTTCTCTGGAAGGTCTGAGGACTTGATTGTTGGAGGAACTAGATTAGAAGAAGGGAGGGCCAGAATGAAAACCACAACCAATGATGTCACAGACCTAAGAGTATGTGGGAGAAACCCATGTCTAAATGGGAAGCACAAAAGGACTCCAGTTTTGTATAAAGAAAACTCTGGAGCATAAAGTCGGGGTACTGTGAGGGGGTAGATCCGAGGAGGTGGAAGGAGGAATGGGTGTGTGCATGATCAAGTTATATTATATGCATGTATGAAATTCTCAAAGGATTAATAAAACATGTTAAAATATGTTTAAGGGATGTGAAACTTTAAAATTAGAAAAATGAATATATTTCATAAACAATGAAACAACTTCATCTTCTGTTTATGATTTTTAGTCATTTTAGATAATACTCATTCTTAGTTTTGAGTCTTTAATTATTTGGATAGCCAAAATGTCCATGTAGTTACTACAACCTAACAGGTATGTTTGGCTAAAACCCATTGACTTCTTTTCCCAATTGATAATTACCATCCATTTCTCTAGAATGACTTCATTAAATTAGTGCCAGATTCATGCAGTATTTATGTATAGGACTTTGTTCCTAGTAAGGCTGACTGACTGGGGTCATAAGGTGATTGAAGCTGGGCTTGCCAGATTCTCTCTCAAGAATCTGAGATTCAAACTGTGGAATAGATTTGTCTGTATTCCATCATGGGACATGGAAAAACAAAATTTAAAAGAGACTCCACAGAGACAGGGGGAAGAATGGAGTTGATATACACAGGTTCTGTTCCTATGCACTCCAAATGGCTCGTTAGTTTCTGGTTCCAGTCCCTTGCTTCTCAAGTTCTTCTGGCAAGTGGGACACATAATGCCCTGGCAGTGATTTGCTCTTGTCATTAGATTCATGGTCATAACTTTATTGTGCCAGTTCTGTGAATGCACTTATGTTCCTGGATTCCAAAATTATACCCTAAGCCTTGCTTCTAGAAAACGCTGTCCAGAATCACTCCTGTTTGGATCAAATCCTTAAAGGTTGACATAACCCATTCACTTGGAAGATTTTGCCTTCCTCTTCTATCACAGTCTAGTTCTCTCTTCGCCGTCTGACACCATGTAGAATACACTTTCTAACACTTAATTATCGCCTGATCTTATTCACATGATACTTTGGGTGTATCTCTGCATCAGAAAATAATTTAAATCTGTTATTATTTAACTATCATCACCCTTTTCTCACTACTTTATACAACTCAAGATTTCGCTCTGCTCCTATCTGAATTAGACAATGAATAAAGCCAGAATAGTTTAAAACACAGTGCGCCCATGCCTTCCTTGACATACCATGAACTGTCACTTCAAACTCCTTCTTGTTGTCTCCTGCAATGTTCGTTGCCACACACTGGTAAAGACCTGTGTCTGACACTTGAGCCTGAGCAACAACCAGTTTGCGTCCATTCAGCAAGATCTTGAATCCATCTCTTTCATCAATTAACTGACCACCTTTTAGCCACCTGTTGAGAAAGGCAAAAATAAATATAGATACATATTACAAATGAGCAATTTCCTAGAGGTTAGTTGTGTATTATATTTATTCTCTACTATGCATTCACCTAAATTCCTAATTAATCACTCTGTGAAACAGGATGTAGAAGAGAAGTAAAAAGGAAACATGGTCTCTCAGAGAGGTTGGGATACAGCTGGAACTCGAGAACTCTGTAATGAGTTCATTATCCTTCTAAAAGTTTAGGTTACAGAAAGGGAAAAATGATATTATTCACTGTAGTATTTAAATAATATTGACCAACAAAATGCAAATGTTTGCAAATCAAATATTGAAACCAGAATTTTATAATATTGTGGGTTATCACTTTATAATGTGTGAACTGTAGTCAGCCAACCATTCTTTTGCATGCCTCATACCATTTTGGAAATGAGAATTTTATATTCAATAATGCTTTGAGAATCTAGGAAGTAAACCAACCAGACAAGACTGTAAGCATGCTAACCTCCCATATTTCTGTTATTTTTTATTTAATAGTCTTTTATTTAATACACATGTCAGTGCCTCAGGGAGATCTAATATTGATAGCATATAATAACCTATATCTTCTGGCTAAAAATATAATTTTGAAGACAATACAAAAAATTTTCTCCAGACCATACTCTGGGAATCTCAGGTAGGGACTTGGCCAGTGTCCATGGACCTGGCCAGTATTAATAAAGCTTGATTCAATGCTGGGTGGTGGTGACACATGCCTTTAATCCCAGCACTCAGGAGGCAGAGGCAGACAGATCTCTCTGAGTTTGAGGCCAGCCTCGTCTACAAGAGCTAGTTCCATGATAGCCTCCAAAGCCACAGAGAAACCCATAAATAAATAAATAAATAAATAAATAAATAAATAAATAAATAAATGTTTGATTCAAATTTGGCTCAAAAAAAAGAGATTTTCTCCAGTTGTGCCAGTATGTCTCCTTTTTGAGAACCAAATGCCAGTCACCTTGTATATAGACTATATCTTTTCAAAGAGGAATATAATTTATGTGTTGACACTCCTCAATGTCAAAATACTTCAGGACAACTCCAAAACACTTATATTAAAAAGTGAGAGAGGTATTTAGAAGACATACCAAAACGCTTACATGATAGTTGGTGGGGGAGAGCCTGTCACCTGGCAATCTAGCTCCAGTAAGTTATTTGCCATCACAATGAAGTAAGATGTTTCATCTCCTCCTTCCACAGCTGGCGGCACTAGAAAGAAGAAAAAAAGGCAGAGGTAGCAGGCAAACAAATGTTTACAGGAATGAATCCACCCTGACATCTGAGTAGTATCTTAAAATATGTTTTTCAAAGGAGTTTAATACTCAAGGGGATTTGAAATTATAAATGCATTACACAATAAGTATTTGCATGATGAATGTATTCCTGTCACCAGGAATTTTCTCTGATACACATTATGGTCCCATAGATGCTATGTTAGTGTAAAGTTTACCCATGTTTTATATTGTTTGTTTACATAGTAACACCCATTTAGGAATCTCTGGCTGATCTCTTTGGAAGGTTACCTTGCTCAGCCTAGATATAGGGGGAGGGCCTTGGTCCTGCCTCAAAGTGAAAACAAAGAGATATATTTAGCTAGCAATATATTAATAGCTCTCTAGAAGATTCATTTGAAAAACTTTTCCTCGTTTATTTCCAATATAATTTCCTCATGGGTTTTTGAGGGCACATGGAAATTTTAGTATTTATATATTAAAATTACAAATGCTAAAAAAGGGATCTTCTGGCTGCGATTACAGGGTCTCAAGGGGGCAAGGTCCAAAGAGTATGATCTGTGGTCTGACACAGTGCCTATGACAGAAGAACACCTTGTGACCCGCTGCACCCAGAAGTTGATACAGTTATGAAAATTCCCTTGCACGAACAACGCATATTCATCAAAATCTTTGGAAGGGTTGTATGAGATTTAGATTGCAGGACTCTATTGAGAAACCCACCACTTGAACAGACTTGAAAAGCCAACTGCACCTGAATTGAGACTGCCTTATCACTACATGACCTAAGACATGTTCAACAGTCCAGTGCTGCAAATCTGACAATCCAGGCAGTGCCATCCTTACTTACCTAAGACATCAACTTCATATTTGATCTCCCTTTCTCCTGCCACACTGGTAGCCACACATATGTATTGTCCCCGGTCAACTTCTAGGGCACTCAAGATTTCAAGTGTCTTCCCGCCAGCTTCTATGCGGATGTTGTCACTGGCTTTCACAGGCACACCATCTTTTAACCAAGTGAGAACTGGAGGAGGGTTGCCAGCAGCTTTACATTCCAGTATCAATGACTGACCGATAACAACTTGCTTATTTGAAGGAGTGGCCAAGTCACCTTCAATTATTGGAGGAACTAAGAAGAAAAACAATGGTAATATTTCAGGTAGTTCTTTTCCCAGTCATAAAAAAAAAAAAAAACTTAAGTAACTAAAAGGGATATTTTTTTCTCATATGCTTTGACTAAAGGAACTTCTTACATGCCTGTTTCCCTCCAAGCTGGTGAGGGAAGAATTTCTTGGTTCAATAGATCTATAACTAATCCAATTATTCTGAGGTGAAATGGACTGTTAGGCTAACAAAATCAAAGATCAGAGACTGATCTTAATACTAACCATTGCTTTACCTTATTGCTAAAAGCCAAATTGTTGAAATGTTCCAAGTTCCAAGGTGGGAGAGTTGGTTAAAGGAATGCACTAAGTTTGCTAACCTTAGCTTTTGTAAATATTTTTCCAAATTATGACAAACTCTCCCAATTCTTATCTGTATTCAATGGAAAAAACTTCCCACGAAGACTTCATGAGTGAGTAAGGTCGATGTCAATGTACTAGAAAGGCATTCAGGAAAGAGATCTATATATCCTTACCATAGATGTCAACACGGAATGATTTTTCAGCCGTTCCAGCAATGTTGGATACATGGCATGTATATGTTGCTGAATCAGAGACCTGTGCTCTTGGAATGTGAAGAAATTGTCCTTTATCAATATAAAGTGCTTGTGAGCTGGATATGACTACCTGGCCATCTTTATACCAGGTAATGGTTGGCACTGGAAGCCCCCGGGTCTCACATTCCAGTTTAAGTATGCTGTTGAGCAACGCTGATATTTCTGTGGTAACATTCCCTCCTTTAATACTAGGTGGAACTACAAAAGATTTCAAAACAAACACAAGTTTAGCATTTGCATTGTGCTGTAAATGCGGTGGTAGCTAAAATTCTTAGTTTAACATAAATGCATATTAATGATAGGAAGTCTGTATCCTCTACAGATGTTTACTTCCCTCTCTGGTCCACACAGTCTCTATACCCTTCCTGTCCAGTTCCAACTTTCAGTAAAACAGTCAAGTCACAGCTTCAGTTTCAAAAGCTCATGGGGTAGACCATATTGGAGTAACCAAGCGAGTTAGCTTCAACAAACAAAGGAATCCAAACCAAAGTCTCAATTAAAGTAGGCTCGTTTAGTTCAAATGTCAATGTCAAAGGAACAAAAGTGTCAGACTTGGTACAATCTCATGCTCTCCTCTCCCAAAATACAGAAGCACATCTGAGTGCTTCTCAGACCAGCTACTGGCAACAGCTGTGGAGTTCGTTCTTTCTTGCTTGTATTAGCTTGTATTAGCTTTTAGCTTCCAGGAGCCCATTCATTCAGCTGTACATATCTAATCAGCTATAGGGATAGTCTCCACTACTCCACTACTTCATGCCTGGCCGCTCAGGCCACTGAGGACTGGACTTTTGGAAAAACACTAAGTTGCTCAATCTCAGCTACATATTTTTAACATGATTCTTGCAAGGTCACAGTACAATTGCAACAATTTGAAAGAAATCAAATGGCATATTTCTGCAGTTGAGTGTCTTAGCACAATTTTAATAAATTTTCATGCTTTAGCGAAGGATATTCTGTAGAATTTTCTTCTTGTGGTTAACCTAGATCTCTGGGTGTTGAGAGAGAAAACAGTGAGGTGTGTTGTTCGTCTCGTCACATACTACTACAGGGAACTGATGTGAGCATGACTTGGATACCTGGCTAAGGGCAGTGTTTTCCAAGTTTCTGTACTAGGAAGATGCCCCTTTCCCCACCGGTGTTTTAGTTTCCTGGCAAGGAATTAACTTCATAATTTATTTGGAATTCTATCTGGGAGACATTATCTCTCCTACCCACTTTATATATCTAATACACTTATTCCTATCATTATGAAGTCTTAAAAATTGGTGTTATACTTGGGGATATAACCAATACCACATTAAGTTAGCCAGTTCAGGCCACGGGAGCTCTCTTAGTTAGCTCCTTTGATATACCCACTTCATCTTATTTTATTTTTACACTTCCTTAATAAAGTATCCTACTATACACTCCATGTTCATCTTATGTAATCCTGCACATATCTAGAGTTAACTATTTCTCCAAGGAACCATGGATTCTTTTAGTGGAAAAGGAGATTAGTTAGAAAATAAGATGCTGGTGCTAATAGAATCTTCACATTTTCTGGTAATCTTCCTGAGAATTGGTTCAGAGTAACAGACACAACCCAAATCATGGCCTGTGATATTTTGGGGTGAATTTGATAGTGGAATCATTTTCCTATAAGTACTTTAAAGTAAATGAACTAGCCAACTTTTAAACAAGTCGGGGAATGAATGCTGAGTTAAGACTGCTAAATGTTTGGTTGGAATACAGTCAAACTCATTCATTTATGTATTGGCCATGGCTGCTCTCACTGAATAGTAATGAATTAGTTGCAGATAGCTACTCATGTGGTGTGCTGATTGCTTCGATTGCTGCTCAGTGTATCATAAATTTAATGACATACTTGTATTTTGCTAGAATTTCAAGTGCCATGTTTAATTTTGTTCCCAGTGCATGTTCTGCATGACAAAACAAGAAGAGTGGAGTGGCACAGTGTAATGTTTCGCTTGCTATACAATCAATGGGCAGAGCATTACATATTCTGTGATGGTACCACAGCTCTGAAAGCATAAATATCAACAGTCTAAGCATGCACTCCAATATTCCTATTTCAAAGAAAGGCAAAAAGTTTGAAATATTAGAATACGTAAAATGGGATGGTTCAGCTTAACAATTTCTTTACAAAAATCAAAAACATAAAAAAGGAGACTAAAACAAAGGAAGTTTCTAAGTAGTTCACTAGCAAAGAAGGTCATTTTTCAATGGTGACATAATTTAATTAACTATGAGTGTAGCAGCTGCAGAAATATAACCAGAGAAAAATCAGTTTGTCGATGATTGCCAGCTCTTCAGTGAGAATAACTCAGGAGCTGATGACTCTGGGGGCACTATGAATAGTCAGTTTTAAAGGGCAACTTAGTCTCTCAAATACTCTTGCCTTTGACACTCTTCACAGATGTTACCAATCCTAAACTATTTGGGCTTATCTTCTAAGTCAGTGCAAAGTTTAACAAACCTGAAGAATTGGTCCCTAAGAACAATCTGGGTAGAACAAATGCTGACAAAAAAATGTCCTTAGTGAAGTCCAACCAACACTAGCTGAAGTGGAATTTGCTAAGATTTGTCACAACTGATGAAGATAAAAAATATGTGAAGTAAGAAAAGAATTAATGAAGTATTCAGAGCTCGAAGATGTGATGTTTAAACATCTGTGTTTTGTGACTGTTACTTCTCAGCAAGTGTCTTATGCAGAATGGTTGTATGTTAATGATCTCCTAGTGCCAATGGTGTGTTTCATTTGTTGTTACTGATACGAACATCACGAGTCCCATGACCACTTCTGAGAATCAGTTGGTAAAGTTTTATGTTCATTTAGTGAGTCCAGGGTTGACACTGAATTTTTTTTCTGAATAAAGAGTCATGCTCAAGATCTGTTATTAAATATTGAAGAGTTTGGGGAATTTGCTTTTGCTTCAAATGGTGCTTTCAGTTTAAAATTACAACACAAGACATTAAATATGCAAATTAGTATAGCAATTTGATTCTTTCAAGCTCACATGGTGTAAGGCTGCTTAACACATTTCTCAGGCTGTGAAAAGTTCAAACCAAAAGTGAGACCTTTATTCACCCACAAATTTTTATTTTATCTCCTGAGCCCAAACAATCATTCTACCAATGTTTGATATAAATGTGTAAGTTTCCATATTCAAGATATTCCATTTATCCTGGCAACAGAATCTCCCATATAGTTTTCAATTAGAATTGAGTAATTGCCTATTTGTTATGACATATTAAAAAGCAAATAATAAAAGAAGAATGTGAAAGAATAATTCAAATGCTTTCCTAGAAATGACTATACTCAGTAAAAGCATGTTAAAAGTTAACAGATATATTAATCAGAACCTATCTAAGAGAAACACATCTTTAAAAGGACAACAGATAAAATCTCATTACCAATCACCAATAGTAACATATGAATGTTTGTCATCAATTTGGATGACAGGGAAAAAATAGGCCTATTAAATAATTTTGTGCCCATCTCCCCAACCCCCTCCTCCCCAAAGAGAATTTTGTCTGTCTTGAACTTGTGCAGACTTTGTGCTTGCTCTCACAACTGCTGTGCAACTGCTCTATTCTGTCCCCAAAGCACGATTTCTAGAAGTTATTCACCACCTGTGGCTTTTACTATCTTCCCACCCTCTCTTCAGGGAGGATCTCTGAGTCTTATGGGGAGGAATGTGATATATACACCTCATTTAGTGATGAGCACTCCACAGTTTGTATTTCCTGTATGTTGACCTGTTGAAGGTCCCTCTATGAATTGTCACCTACTGTAAGAAGCTTCTCCGAAGAGGGTAGACAGATGTATTTATCTATGGATATAGCATGTTTTAATACTATGTCTGTTTAGCAGAAGACTAATAGGCATGGGGATGGATTATATTGATTAGTGTAAGCCTTATATCCAAACAGAAAGTGATTGGTTACTCCCATGATGGTTGTGCCACTGTTGCATAGTGGGTATATCTTGTCAGGCCAGTTGTTAATGAAGCTGGCCGGGTTCACAACTGAGTGACATTGATAATTACTTTTCTCCTCTGGTGTGGGGCACCAGAACACCTTCCAGCATCATAAAAGATAGGTAGTAGGGATAAAGCCTCCAGGTCAGTACCAGGTTGATTCATTCATGTTCTATGAATCAAGTATGAGGTGCCTTCAGCAATATGGTCTTACCACCAGGTTTTGGAGAGTATCCAAGAGCATTAGCAATAGCCTGTAATGTTTGGGGTTCTATGATAACCCACTGGCCAACAACTCAAAAAGAAGTAACCCATTCTTCTAAGTAGGATTTTTATTTGCTAGCATGTGGTGTTTAGTTGGGTATTGTCTCCTCATTATAGGATAACTCCATTTAAACTCTTTAAATATATATATATATATATATATATATATATATGCATAATCATATTTAAAAAACTACTACATTAGTATTTTCTATATGAATTTCCCTCCAGTCTTTTTGTTTATTCAGATGCAATGTTCATGTTTATAGCTATTATTTTTCATCCTCATATGATGATATGAGAGTGTAAATGAAGAAAACAGTCTGCCTACACATTATTCACAGTTACCTAGAGTATACCATTTGTGATTTTTCCATTTTTTGACAGTCACATTTTCACAAATTAAATAAAGTCAACATAAGGCTACCCACTTGAAGGCATAGGACAGTTTGCTAGGAAGAAAGTGTATGGTTTCCCAAATTAGAATACTAAGAGCTTCTCAATACCACAATGCCTTTCAATCAGACTATTCCACAAACCCTCTCTTCAGGGTGCCCGAGGGCATCACACAAAGTGAACATGAGGATCTGATGTGAATAAATTCAAGCCCCACAGAAATAGAAGTATTATTGAAGTTCCAAGCTGTATTCACAACAGATCCTGGCAACAATACAACAGCCTGGGAAGGCACTGTGCTTGTTGTTTCAATGGCTGGCTCTGGTAGGACAGCAATGGTGGTAATAACTCTTTTGTTTAACTTGGCATCTATATAGCTAATCTTTCAGTGATGGCACTTAATATAGAGACATGTCTTTTCATGACTGATTTCCCCAGTAGGCTTCCAATTATACACATAAATGATCTAAAAAAGATACTAAAATTTGAAATAGACACCTTATTTTAAAAGTCTGATTTTAAATGGAATTATTAAGTATAATCAAGCTAAATTGGAGCTAGGTGTGGTGGCAAACACCTATAATCTCAACACTGAGTAATCAGAGGCAGGAGTATTACCATGAGTTTCAGGCAAACTTGGCCTAAGAGTGAAAGCCTGTGAGAAACAAAGAAAGAGAAAGAAGAAAGTGAGCTAGATCCTATATATATTTTAAATTTTAAAGCAATGAAGAAAAACATATATTAAACCCCCACTAAAAGCCAAACAAAACTTTCCTAGCATTTTACCTTCAGAGTAACACTGTTATATGAACACTATTACTAATTTAAGAAAACAGAAAATCTGAGGGGCAAGGAAATCCATATGAAGTCACAAAGCTGGTAAATGGCAGAGCTTGGGGTCCAAACACAAGTTCATCTGTCTCCAAAGTCCACATCCTAATTAATGACTGAAACTGCTACTCAACAAAAATGTAACTTAAACCAAATGTAATTTTTAAGTCTCTAAAGGCTGCATTGAAAGTATGCAAAGAAATTAAGGAGGTAAATTCTAAGAATACGTTTTACTTAGTCCAATATATCCAAAATATAAGTTAAGAATAAATCATAAAATTATTAACTAGCTATCACATATAAAGTTTTCATACCACCATTAGTGTCTGGAATACATTTTTTTTATCCTTCCAGTGTCTCTCAGACTGGACTAACTTCTCACTAACACATATGACTACTGGCTACTATCGTTTACTACCAGACCCTTCAATCATTTGGACAATATGTCTTTAGAGCTGTCTATAGCATACAATAAAGTGGAGGTGTGTAAAATAGAAGTCTGTTGTTATGGAATTTAGAATCCCTAGCAATACATTTCTAACAAGCAAAAGCTTTTAATTAAGCAAATACAAGACTGTGATAAGTGATATTAAGAAAACAAATCAGTTCAATATAATAAAGCCTAATTGACTGCTTTGGATTGGGAAGATCCTGTTCAGAGGCAATACTGAAGTTTATGAATCTCTCCTTGAGTACTATACACTCTGTAAAAAGGGTGACAATAGTGCAGTGAGTAGAGCTTGGCTAAGAACCACTAACATAGAGTTCTATTCTTTTCTACTGTGTAAATTGTTGTGTCTACGGTATAATATTCATGTGTCTACTTAATGACTCCCCCATTCATAAAAAATGACTTTGAGAGTCACCTTCACTGGTGGTTGAAATTCTTAGTGAAAATGGGGCTTGCATAATTTGGTCCTTTAGATGAGAATGGCCCTGATAGGCTCAATATTTGATGACTTGGTCCTCAGTTTGGGGAACTGTTTGGAAAGGATTAGGAGGTGTGGCCTTTTTAGAGGAGTGTCACTGAGAGAAGGTTTTGAAGTTTCAAAGGCCCATGCTATTCCCAGTTTGCCGTCTCTGCTCCAGTGCCATTACCTCCTGCCTGCTGCCGTGAACCCTGCCATGATGGTCATGGACTCTGACCTTCAGTAACTATGAGCCCCAAATTCAACAGTTTCTTTTATGAGTTGCCTCAATCATGGTGTTTTGTCACAGCCATGGAGAAGTAACTAAGACACATTATTTCCGGTAGAGATTCAGTGGAAAAAAAATAGAACAACATATGGCATTAAAAACATAATCACATGGTCAGGATGAAAACCAAGATGGAATAAAAATATAACAATTGAATTGCTGGCATACTAGATGTTTTGGTGTGTTTTGTACATTTATACACTTAATTCTTCTTAGGCATTTTATTTATATTTATACTAATCAATTAGGGAATGCCTTATCATATCAAAACTACTACAGCCAGCACTCGGGAGGCAGAGGCAGGTAGATCTCTGTGAGTTTGAGGCCAGCCTGGTCTACAGAGCGAGTGCCAGGAGAGTCTCCAAAGCTATACAGAGAAACCCTGTCTTGAAAAACCAAAAAAAAAAAAAAACCTACTACATAATCTGAATAAATCCACAGATAAGGATAAATTGCGTTTAAAAACTGAATGCATTGCTATAGACTGAAACTTAAAGGTAAACTCCTTCTCTTTATTTGAATAGCATTCCAAAGTATTCAATATGGAAGGAAAGAACCATACAATAAATATTAGAGTAAATTTTAGCTTTCAGTTTACAATGGTAATACCATGAGAAAAGTCGCACCTACCATAGACAGTCAGTTTTATATCCTTGGCTTGCTTGCCTGCTGCATTAGACACTGTACATTGGTAGCGCCCCTTGTCACTTCTCCTCGCAGTCCTCAGATGTAAATTCTGTCCTCTGTCTGAAAGTTCAATGTTGGGATCTCCCAAAAATAAAGGCCTAGAAAAAATTATTTCATAGGTCCATTTTAATTTCCCCATGTTTCCTGTCTTATTAATTACAATAAATTACATGGTATGAGATAAAAATTATGAGACAAAATTGGTTATAAGAATACACTGTGATTAGTGCTCCAATTCCAAAGACTGAAAGTGTTAAGCCACATTACTAAAGGAATTGGATAACTACTGCTTTGAGATGAAAACCTTTCCCCCATCATTCTTTAATCATTTAATAACATCATGAGGAACTAAGTGGGGTTGTCATTTTTTTCATTCATTAATCCATTGTTATTCTTCTTACTCATTTTGTAATTTTTGGTTTAATGCAAACATTCTACTATTAAGTGGAAAAGAATAATTAAGAGTTTGAAAATGCCCCATAGGAACTTCAGAGCGAGGGTTTATAAGAAAATGTGTGGGTATTACTTGCTAATAATGCTGACTATGCCAATCTTTCTAAAAAGTGGAACACATGTGAATGTTATATTATCATAAATATTGAAAGTACTTATTCCCAAAGAAACTCACATACATTTTCCATGAAAGTCTATGTCTAAGATTCACATCTACTACTATAAAATGCTCACTTCATGTCTTTCCAACAGTGTTGTGTTAATACTTGAAAAATATTACTTAGTAAAATCTATGATCTCCCAAGAATCATTACTTTAAAGTCCATTGATTATTTTTTAGGAGAAAAGATTTAAAACCTGTAGTTATTTTTTTAAAGCGAGAGTCACATAATAAATTATTGACTATGTTGCTATATTAATAAGCCAGAAGCCAGTCTACTCAGTAAATGAAGAAGACTTTAATTCTGTAAAGTATTAGCCTTCACTATCTGTGGTATGACTTTGTATAGAATGTTCTCAAAAGTTAAAAATACCATAGTTTATTACAGTGATTCTCAACTTCCCTAATGCTGTGACCCTTTAATACAGTTCCTCATGTTGTGGTGACCCCCAACCATAAAAATATTTTTGCTACTACTTACTAACTGTAATTTTGCTACTGTTATGAATTATAATGTAAGTATCTGTTTTCTGACGGTCTTAGGCTATCCCTGTGAAAAGGTCAGTCAAGTCCCCAGAGGGTCATGACCCCCAATTTAAGAACTACTGGTTTAGTACATTTGAAGTTTTTGGTTTGTTTGTTTGTTTGTTTTTTTAAGAGTGAACACTTGGGGGAAGGAGACTAAACAAAAAGAGTGAATATGATAATATGATACTTGAATTTATAAGACTGACATTTTATTCATTATTAATTATAAAAGTAACATAAAATTTAAACAAATAAGCCTAAGTGTTCATATTGGAAAATCATTGTTGGTCTATTTTCACAAATGTGAACATTCTCTCTAACTTCTTGTCATTATCAGTTTGACTGTTATCCATCTGTTTTCACTAAACAGTTTTCATTCATAAATATATCCCCGAAGAAATCTAAAATTTATTGTAAATGACATTGTGCTATTCTCCTGCATCCCACTGTGCTCTGTTACAGCAGCTGTGGAGTTACTTCAGTATGAATACCTCAGTCTTATGTGTTATCTGACTCCTAACATCTGTCGTTAGCCAGTTTTCAATCTTTTGCCACTGCGGTGTGGCAGAGAATATCAGCAAATGAACTTCCTGCTGGAGATGCACATCTCTGCCCTGTCTTGTAGAATGGAGACGTGACCCCTGCATGACAGCACCTGAGCATTAAAATTTTAATACAGAGCATGAGATTGCCTCTAAGGACATTGCTTTATAGTCTCTATAGTACTGTACTGTAATCTGACTTCCCATATCCAGACAACCCTTGATATTTTCAAACCTCTATTTATTAAAAAATGACCTAAGAGAAACAAAATTATATTTTATTTATATTCATCAGATTGTTGAGGATGAGAATATCTTAACATTTATTGTATGATTATATTTTAATTGCTCATTTATACTAATTCATTTTTCTGTGTTCTCTGTCTTGTTAATTTCTTAGAAGATGAAGTGGATTCCTATTTTATACATGGCCAATTGAAACTTTCTGCTACTTAGTCCTTTCAGCTCTCTCCTCCTCAGACACACAGACACTTTCTGTCATTAGTCATACCAGTGTGGTCAAAGCCCTTGATGCTTCCACTCTAGGAAGTACAATTACTCTCTGTGATTTCCACTTTATTCAGACAGAGAACTAGTCTGTGTATTCATTATATTGTCACAAACCCATTTCCCTTTTCAATAGCTCAATCCCATGTAAAGGCATAATTATCTCTTCATTGAAATCTGTTTATTTTAACTGTTAATATTTATGAATAGGATTTTGGTGCACAATAATTATAAATTAATCTGTTTCCATAATAAATACCCAAATTTACAGAGAGCTTTGTTTTTTGAAAAATGAAAGATATTACAAGACTTTTTCAAAGCAACATTATTTCTCCATCGTGATCACTTAATAATGTTGTAATTTTAAGGTGATTAAAACAGAGGTAAGCCTTACACAGAGGAATATCTGTTTCTTATAAATTACACTCTCAAACAGATACAGACAAGATACTCACTTGCCATCCTTGAACCAGTGAATAGCAGGGAAGGGAGTGCCTCGGACATGGCACTGCAGGGTGATGTTATGGTTCAGAACAACTGAGACTTCATTTGGGAAGCTGGCACCTATTATGCTGGGTGGAACTTGAACAAAGACATTTTTATCATAAAATATATGACATAGCACAAAGATCTTGGGAAGAAGCAGACAATTAGTGGTTAACAAATTATTTCAACAATAGATTAAGGCCATCAATAAAATGTCCCACAATAGCTCCTTTTCACATCACATTGTGTGCCCAAATGCTAGTTTTAAATCCAGGAATATTTTCATGAAATTTTGTTAGCAGGAAAATTACCTACAAGCATAATGAAAGGACAGAAGTCATTTTGAGGCACAATAAATTTGTGTGCAGAACTCATGGAATGTAATTGAGCAGCAAAGTTCACACGATCGAATGCACTATTGATGCACATTTCAGACGATCAATGACATGGACAATGTCAGTCTCATATGGTTCAAATTCTAAATACTGTGTCCTGTCTCCCTTGGTCTTTTTTGAGTATGAGTATGATATACAATAAGAAGCAGAATATATTCATTCTTATCCTTATACAAATACTTTCATTTGTATAATTCCTCACCATCTAAATCTCTCTTTTGTATCATGTTAAGCGGTCTGGTATTCATCTTCAGAAATTATTAGACAGTACAGGGTTTCAGTGAGGGAAGAGGTATGGCATAACAAGATATTTATATAAAGATCTCACTGCTTGCTAAGTGAATAATGGATCAGATTGATGAAGACTGGATGCATAAAGGAAGTTAAATGCTATTATAAATGAAAGCATGCCTTCACCATGGAATGGGAAGAAGTAGATTATCAGGAAGTAGGCATAAAGAACACGCATGGTTAAATATCAGGAATTCTGGAGAAAGCAGGGGAAGGGTGGAGATGCATGTCACTCAGAGACCCCAACTGTTACTAGAGAAAATGGTTATTGCGACTTTGAGTTTGATAAAGCACCAAGATATTCAATAACACATAAAGAAGATATTCAACCCAGCACGCTAAGGAAATGTGAGCATTATAGCACACATCTATAATCCCAACACTTGGAGGCTTAGGCATGAAGATTGTTGAGTCGAGGTCAGCCTGGGATATTAGTGAGACTCTCTTAAAATAAGTAGATGAAATCATAAAAAAAATAGTAAGGTGAAGACTAGATATTTTCCCTAGTACTCAAGGAATTCCAAGCTAGAGCTGAGTGTTTGGGAATCAACTGCACACAGATGGATTTCATGGAGGGAATGAATGTCAGGAGAAACAATGCCAAAACTAGTGATAAGAGAAACTGCTAAGGATTTTTAAAAATGGCCTGTAGTTAAATACAAATATAATTGTAGGGAAAAAAGACATACATTGTAGTTCAGGTTTCGGGGAGAGTAAGGAAATTGATTATTTTTTTGATAATCGATGAGTACTAATTTTTATGATCATATCACTTCTAGGCTTCATTTTCACTAAAAACACCAATTATGTACCTATTTTGATAAAAAAAAATATTGAAAAGAGAAAGTCATTTACCATGAAGTGAACTTGTAATGTCAAATATAACTTTACTAACTAAAAATAGAACTACGACAACCATGAAAATTATTTGTATCATAATCTAGTATAGTTGGCTACCCACTTTCAGAATTCCCTTTCTGCCTGAAAAGTCCATCCCTTTCTCTTAGACATCTCTTCCCTGGACTAGAACCAGGGCTTATTTAGCTCCTGTAACTAATTAGATTAGAGTGGAAAGGGATGTGTGGCCTTTTCTAGTTCAAGCATCCTGCTATCTTCAGATCTACACATCATAATCACATTGCATTGTGTCGCACAGCTACCTATGTACCTAATCACTTCTCTCTGAAGCTACTGCCTAGAGAAGTACCTTTTACCATACGTTGTATGACATTTTTCGGTATATGAGTCAAAGCCATCTTTATATTATAAATAATTAAAATTAAAAACAACATCCTTAATGAATGTCACAAGTGGTATTTCTCTCCTATCAACTTATTTTTAAATCTCTCTGTTTTGTCATATGGTAAGAAACGTCTCTAACCTGTAGGTTTGTTTTATAAAGAGGTTTTCCTTACCTAATACGTCAACACTAAAGTACTTCTGAGAGGTTCCTGCAATATTAACTGCTTTGCAGGAATATCTCCCTGCGTCCTCTGCAGATACTTTAAAGAGTTTCAATATCTTCCCATTGTTCACGATCTGAACAGTACTGCTTTCTGTCACCTGCATGAGACAAACTATTGTTATTTCCAAATCTAGTAAAACTCCACAATTAGAAAAGAAGAGCAGTGTTTGTTATTATTGAGAGGAAATTAGCATCTGCACAATTTATTTCAAGTACAGAAGCAGGGTACTGTGCATACTTCACATGGCTGTCTCCATTTACCTGGGTATCATCTTTATACCACATAATGACAGGTGATGGAGTTCCTTCTGCCTCACAGTAGAGACTGGCCAGGTGGTTTACCAACACAGACACATTTGTCACATGTTCCTTATCTTTAATTACCGGTGGAACTGCAAAAGAAAGGAGTTATGACTAGATAATCGTGTAGCGTCCAAGTTTCTCCATAAAGCCCTTTAGAAAGAAACTTCAAATATAAATGATAGCAGAAAGCTAGTCATATGAAAGCAATGCTTTCTTACAAAATGAAATGTGTCAGCTAACACATTTATACATAAAATTCCCTATGTAATCTTTTACTGTATGTCAGGATTTTAAGTTCAGGATGAAATTTAGGATAGCTCTGAGAAAGAACATTTCACATATTGCAAGTCCTCACTACTTGGCTGGTGGAAGTAAATGTCACACAGTGTCTGTGGAAGCCATCATCAACAAAATCTAAAATTCACATACCCTTACGAAATGATACAGGTACCACATTTTCACTGTAAGTTTAAATAACTGTAAATATCTGGTAATAATCAGAATACCTATCATCAGTGTATAAAGGTTAAATACATCATTTAAACTAATCTAATGAGATATTATAGATAACAGTTAAGGACCTAGAATAAGTCACAAGATAGATTGTTCAATGAAATAGCCTAGGGTATAGAGAGTGAGTATATATTCTGTCATATATGCTCTTTACATAAGGTTTTCATACTTATTTGTGCCTTAAGAGAATCTCTGAGAATCATACATGTAGTGTATGTAAAACTGGTTGCTTTGCTCTGTAGAATTTATGCAAATCACTTCTTGGGGTGAGCAGGCTTTTGTGCTGTATCTTTATCTCCTATTTAAATTTTGAGAGATGCAAAGTCTCAACTGGAAATTGAATAAAAGCTTGAATAATAAATAAGTGTAAACCAATTTCCTATCTTCTGTTTGATATTAACATATCCACAAATTATTAAGTTGTAGTATGTTGATTAATGACTTAAACATGCAAAATTAGAAACAGCAATATTTTCTGCTATTTGGTTTTAACATTTTTGTCTATATTTACCATGAACTTTGAGGTTGTATTTCCTTTCTGTGGTCCCAGCTTCGTTGATGGCCACACAGATGTACTCGCCATTGTTGTGTGGTGTAAGAGAAGCAATGACTAACAGTGCACCATCTTCCAAGATAGAAACACCAGGCTCTTGCCCTGTCACCTCTCTGCCATTGTGTAACCACTTGATGGTTGGTTTAGGAGTACCTAAATAGGAAATTAAATCCTTTTAATAACAAAATTGGAAAAATACTAAAAAAAAAAATCAAATGCATCAAGAACAGATAAACTTCCTGCTATGACCATAAGTGTATCCTGAGGCACTGTGCCATTTTTATGATAAAAGTGAAGAGACTTAATGGTAGTTCGTGAATGCTTCTAATTCCTAATCAGTCTTCAGACCTGTGGCTACTTGTTGATCAAAGTTGCTTTTAATCAGAAAACTCAGAGTATAAGCAAAACATTTCCTGGTGTGTTCACTACAGTGAGTAGAAGTGAAAAAATGTGTATTCATCAAATTGACAGGATAGAGAGGGAGACTGGGAGTAAAGTAAGGCAGAGCAAAGACGTGGTGTTGTTACAGGAATATGACAGGATCCTGCCCAACCAAATGGAGTATATAAGGAATGTGGGGAAAGTGTGGCCTGTAGCTGTAGTGACTTTGAAAAAGACTCTATTTAGTGAGCACACAGAGCTTCCACTGCCTACATACACTTCTCAGTATCTCAACTGCTCGTCAAAAGACAACAGCTCAATTCTTTGAAAGAAGTAGACAATGCAATGAGGAAAAAAATACTTTCCTGGATTTATTTGTAAATAGCAGAGTAAATGGAAGTAACACACCTATGGGCCAAAATGAATACATAATAAAGCCAGAGGGGATATTACAAACAGAAAAACAGTGACTGTGCTGCAAATGCTTTATTTGAAAATTTTAAAAAAATTAAGTGCACTATTCTAAATGCCTTAAAACCTGATTAATTCCTATACTGAAGACAAAGCACATTAAACAAAACCAATAGGATCCCATAAAATATTGCTTGCAATCAACAATAAGGTAATAAACACATTAAAAGTAGTACATACAATCCAAGGTAAAGGCAGAAAGCATGGCAGAAATGAATGCAATGTACTGGTGAAGCTACACTCAATATTAATCAATCTTATAAAAGTGATTATGAAAGGCATATTTGTAAGAAAAGTGAAAAAATCAGCCTATTTAATCTCGATCATCGTAAGATTTTGACTAACGAGGAAAAGACAGTAAACCTGATAATCTCCAGCTGTCTGTCCACATTCAGAGTGAAAACCAAAGGTTCTAATCATTTCCTTTTATCCCACTATTTTCTTTGTAGACAACAGTCAGACTTTGCAAGTGACATTTATTGAAGTAACACATAAAAGTAAATGGGCACACAAACAAAAGAAATCAGAGCATTGTCTTTACCTATAAGTACTAGAATAACTATTACCAAGATGAAATCCATAGCAAAGTCAATAAAGAGTAGGCCAATGAGATGGCTCAGTGGCTAAAAGCCTTTGCTCTGATGTCTGATGACTGATTTTTATCCCCAGAAGAAATGTGGAAGGAGAGGCCCAAATCCCCCCAAAGACACACACACACACACACACACACACACACACACACACACACACTAAAATAAAAGACAAGAAAAATCCTCTAGCTACCTTTTGTGTGTGTGTGTGTGTGTGTTGGGGGGTTTCAGGGAGGGTTTCTCTGTGGCTTTGGAGGCTGTCCTGGAACTGGCTCTTGTACACC